GCACTCCAACCAACTGGTGTGCTGCAACTGTATGGACCCCACTTCGGGAAATGTTTGCACAGAGGGCTCTTGTTGATTTGCTGGCCCGCCTTCACTTAGGGCGGGCACTAGGCTTGTTGGGGCCTTAGCCCAGAACATGTACATCATGGCAAGGCCCCTTCTTGAGGGCTCAATCCTCACAGGTTCTGATTTCTGGAAAAAAATTGAAATGACAACTAGGCAGAGTTGAATCAGGAACGAATCAATCAATCAATCAATCAGTCAATCAGTCAATCAATCAATCAATCAATCAATCAATCAGCCCTAATTAACCAATCAATCAATCAATCAATCGATCGGCTGATCGGGTTGATTGATCGATCTATAATCTGGGAGTCCAGATTCACAAGCGCAGCTCGGATACCAACTGAAGAGTGTCCAATCGGGCGATGTAGGGGGAGCCAAGGATCCGCAAAGTGATGAAATGGACTCGTAAGGACAATGCCGCGTCAGCCAAGCATCAACAAGCGATGTACATCCAGATACATATGGAATAGCACAATGTAGCGCAACGGAAGACTCAAGATATGATCTGACTTGTCAAATACTGATGCAACACCCTATCATACACCACACGTGTGAGAGAGAGGAGGGACCGCATACATAGAAGAAAGGTTCCTCCTTGCACACATACATGGGGGGAGATAGCACGGACGAGAGATGGGGGGAGGAGAGACGAAGATGGAGGCGAGGGAGAAGACCGAGATCGGCCTCCTCACTGTCTCACCTGCAGGTAACTGCTGCCAATGTCCAACCAATGTCTGCCGCAAAAAAATGTCGAATCAGATCCTGGGCGTATGCCCGTGAAACTTCTGCCTGACCTCTCTCTCTCTCTCTCTCTCTCTTTGAAAGAAGAAGAAGAAGAAGGAAGGGAGAAGAAGAGGTGGAGGGAGAGAGCAGACGAAAGAGGAAGAAGATGATATCGGCCTCCTCACTGTCTCACCTGCAGGTAACTGCTGCCAAGTACTGACGTCGCAGGCGTACGCTGTGTTGCAGGTCGGTGAAGCCAAGTCCAGCTATGGTGCCCAGGTACATGCTCGAACGCTGCTGGTATGGCATCCGCCCTATCTCCTGCCTACTCTGCTAATCCTAACGCAGCGCAGCGCCTCCGTTGCGGTGCTGGTCCAGCAGCGTAGCACCCAAGAAGTGAGCTACTTGAACTGTCCAGTGCCCAGCCGCTGCCCAGCTATATGTAGCGCTGGGCAAGGCTGGGTCTACCTGGTGCTTGCCTAAAATGGCCCAGCCAATCTGGGCCCCCACCGGGCGTCCAGACTGTGCTGCTGATGCAGCTGTAATAACCCTGTTCAGAAGTAGCCTGGGGCCCAGAACTCAGCCCAAGGCCTCGCAGACCTGAGAAGGTCTGTGCTGGGCTGTGTGACCAAGACACGCCCAAGCCTGAGTCTGTCGAGTGTGGCTGTGTGACCGAACGCTGCACATAGGAAATTCAAGAGTCAAAGTCAACTGTAGAGTCCAAGGTACCGCACCCAGGCCCCAGGTTGGATATACTCACTTGTTGTGCGCAGGTACCCAGACAGCATCCAGGCCGGAGGGAATTCGGTTTCAGATCGATGTGAGCCCTCATTCACATTGAGATCTGGACGGCCGAGGGATACAGCATCCGGGGTCCAGACCCCGTGTCAACACTACATAAGAGTTGACTTCCTGGCTTTTAGATTCATTCTTTCTGTCTCGCGTTGACGCTGCTCTACGCGTTGACGGCACGTCGCTGACTGGTCGCTGCGACGCTGGTGGACGCTGGCATTACGCTGGCATTGGCGAGATAGCAGCAACACGCTGCTGGCTGGTGCGCTGACTGGCTGGCTACTGTCTTCAAGGCTTACTGACGTGGCATTGCCACGTGTTGCTACTGACGTGGCTGCTGCCACATGTGACATTGCCGGGTCTACAGGACTGGCATTGCTGTTCTATTCCATCATCACTTCAGGGAGATATCAAGGCAGTTTCATCGTCAGTTCAGGAGCAGATCGGGACTGTGTGGAGGTTGTGGATACGTACCTGGGATCTTCACGTCGATGCTACTCCAGCGCTGATGAGAGGTTGATTGGGTGCCACGTGGCGCATTGTAACAGGACTTCGATATGTGTTCAGATTACTGGTTATTGTGAGGTGGCGGTCAAGGAAGGAGCCCGGAGGAGTGGGCATTTTATTATCCTCTCCTTTGTGTCATCTCCCTCCTTCCTCTTCGTCTGTGTATGATTACCTCACCTCCTTCTTTCTAGATACTACTTTCATTACTGGAAATTATCAGTGACTTGACATTCTGGACTAGCATTGTTGACAATTGTATTCATGACTTGGGTTCATTGCAATTTGGTATCGGAGCAGTACTCCTGTCTACGACGACGATAACGACGACGAAGATACTGTCGCGATCCCGGCTGGTATCCCAACTGCCACGGTAGCACGTGTGTCGGGATCGGTATCCTGAATAATCTTCTCACCAGCAGTCTTTGTCGTCATCAACAGCACAACCTCCTCATCATCATCTTGTCACGTGTGCCGGTCTTCAAAGGAGGTAAGTGCCCTGTCTAGACTGTCGCACGATTATAATCGTGATTGAGCACTTCCTCATACTTACCTAGCGCCACCTGGCCACGTCCCAGGATCTGGTTGCTGACGTAGCAAGTATCGTTGCGTTTATCACTGACATGCGACCAGATCCTGAGCAGGAGCTGACGTGGCTCTTGGAGGTGCTTATTGCTGACGTGGCAGGAGAGGATTACCGCACTTGTCTTTTGATGTGGTGATAACCTGCTGACGTGGCATTACTCCTTGGGCTGACATGGCATTGTTCCGATTGGCTGGCTTGACGACGGTACTACAAGACGACACGTGGATGAGGCACGTGGGAAGGACAGGGAATACATCGCTGACGTGGCATCCCAGCATCTGTTGATTGGACTTCGCTGACGTGGCAAGTTTGCTATGTTGGTATGCGAAGGATGACACGTGGCAGGCAGAAAGCTGCCTAAGTGAGAGACTGCATTCCGACGACGACGACGGTACGGCTGATTGAATGGTTGATCGAACAGCTGTAGTGCCAGTTGTCGAGCGGTGTCCTATAACGCATTAAGATTGACGCAAGGAAGAAGAAGATTGTTGACCCAATTGTTGTTGTTTGGTGTTGGCATACTTACCTTGTGTTGCTTGTGGTGTTGTGCGTACTCACTTTTGTGTTGCATCTGATCACACGGCCTGAAGTGGTACCTGTAGAATGTGTGTAGGACATCATCACACAGATCAAGAAAGAACAGCATTCGTAGTAAATTAAATAATTGAATTTTCTCCTTCAGTTACAAATAAACCTTGTTGTTGTAGAATCGTGCGGCTGTGGAATTTATTACTGTTATTTAATTGTTTATTGTGCATCGAACGCACATCACAATGTCTCAATCCTCTGAGTCTCAGACTGTTGGGGAGCTACCTGATCCCCAAACCAGGCAACAGATAACCGAGCGGAAGAAAGTATTAACCGCCCGCTTGGGCAACCTGATTTTTGAACTTCATGATGCTGGTGCTGAGGCAGAAGCCCACGTCCGGAGTCAGTTTGACTTGGAAGCAGCACATGCTGCTCTCGAGGCAGCTGAGACGAGCACTGATGTCATCCAAGTTCAGGAGGTATTTATCAGGTGTCGTCAGACACTTGATAAGTACGTCATGGGCCAGTTTAATGAGATTGCTAATGGAAGCGGAAAGAAAGAAGTGTCTGTGATTGAGGAAACCATGGATGAGAATATCCGTCAGCTTGAAGAAGCACTTGAGAGAGAGAAGAACCGAAAAGAGGAACTCAGAAGAGAAAAAGAAAGAAATAGACAGCAAGAACAAAAATTAGATGAGATCAGACAAAATGTGGTAGTAACTGAAGGGGAAGAACAGACCGTTTCTCTTAATCAACTTGTGAATTATCTCGCTCACCTTGAAGTGAAACTTGATCAGTTTGGCATGCGACTTGATGAGCTTACTGCAGGCCTACAGACTGTCACGAATCTGGTGAAAGGAAAGAACAAAGTGGTTGAGCAAGAGAAGGAAGAGAAACCCAAGAAACTGATGGGAGATGCGATAAAGCCTCTCAAGATAGAAACACAGACACCGGAAGGAAAGAAACCCGAACAAAAGAAAGGGGAACCGTCGAGTCCGCCGGGTTTTCCAAACGGAAAGAAAGAAGGCCCTGCACAACCGGAGAAACCAAAGAAGAAGGGCAAAGTTAAAATGAAACTGCCTTTCACGTTTTGCAATAAGAAGGACAAAAATTTGCTATTGTGGATTGCTGAGATTCACATTATGGTACGGCCCCTGTTGAGCCCGAATCCCAGGTGGCCTTCTCTACTTCTTGCTTAGGGGGGGAGGCTAAGGAATGATTTTGGCCGAAGCCAATGCAGCCGGGTTCTATGACATTGGGGACTGGGCTAGGACAATGACGCTGAAGCAGTTCCTTGGAAAGATAAAGGAACGCTTCTTGGACAAGACCACAGCCGATAAGGCCTTCGACCAGCTCACAACCATTGGTCAGAAACATTGCACCTCGGTGGAAGCCCTGTCGCGGGAGGTTGACCGGTTGCTGCAGGTTCCAGGATTGAATCTGCAAGACAACCAAGTTTTGTACATATACTCTCGTGCTCTGCCCGAGCCCACCTTGGGACAGCCCGTGGCAGATTCTAAATCTGGCAAATATAATTATAGGCGGTTTCGTGATTTGGCTCTCCAAAGAGAACAAATGACATCTCAGGTTAAAAACACGTATGCATCTGTTGTGAAGTATGGTGGTGGTGCAGGTGCAGGCAAGCGAGTACTCTGGCGCCAAAAGCGTCATGATCACACCCTCGTCGTCTTTGATGACGAAACTGTGGAGAGGTGGCCATTGGAGGCCGAGGGTGTGACGAGCAGCAATGAGTCCGGAAAGGGGGACGTCAATGCTGCCGTGGTCAATAAGGGAGGACCACGACCGCCAGGAAAAAGGAGGAGACCGCGCTCGTTCCCGGAGCATCCTGGTATTGCGGCCGGAAAGCCCTGGGAGAAGATGGACGTAGACCAAAAGACTTGGCAAGAACGGATGGACAATGCGCAGTGCCTAAAATGTGGGACTGCGGGGCATGTGATTGCATGGTGCCCATTAATCCGGAACCCAAAACCGAGCCGCCAGTAGGAGTAGCATCTGCTCCTACTGAGTTGAAGGGTTGAGATGATGAGAGGTAAGGCGCCTACTAACCCTTTCAACCCTTCGACTCACATGGCAGAGGATGGTTCTTCTCCAACCCATCGTCCAGAACACCCTGAACCTGTCTTATGTTCTGTCTCTCTGGACGACTCCCTTCACGAGCTTGGTAACGAGTTGCTGGCATTACTAAGCTCATGGGCTAAGAAATCAAAGTCTAAGGGTGAATTATTACTCGCGGTCGTAGAAATCGCATACGCACGCACGGGTGCACTATTAGACTCAGGATCTACACGGTCCTACATATCCGAGAAAGCAATCCGCAAATTGCATCTTGGAATGAAGATAAAGAATTTGTCTCGACCTATCACGTCTATCCTAGCAGACAAAAGCGCGATCACTGTCTCACAATATATCGATTGTGTGAAGTGTCGATTCCGTACGAGGGACAGAAAGAAGATAATGCATGAAATTTCTTTTCTTGTTGAGAAGAACTTGCCGCTTGACATGATTCTGGGGATGGATTGGCATGAGGAAGCCAACGCAGATATCAAGTTCAAGGACAAGGTTGTGCAACTGCGAGACGCACAAAATGAATTGAAAACCATCAAATCGTATCATAAGTTTGGCTCTGACTCTAGTCTGTCTTTATGTTGCACGAGTTACCCAGCCTTCCGTTCGATGGTTGCAAAGAAGAAATTGGAACAGGAAGTAATGATGGTCCTAGTGAAACAAGTTGGTGAGTTCTCTACTTCCTATCCTCCATCGATTGAAAAACTCCTAAACGAGTATAAAGATTTGTCAATGGAACCGACAGGAACCACTGAGCGTGCTATAAAGCACACTATTGAGATCATTCCTGGCAGTAAGACTCCCAAGGGCCCTATCTATAGAATGTCTCCTAGGGAACTTGAGGAACTGAGGAAACAACTCCAGGACTTGACTTAGAAAGGATGGATTCGCCCTAGCTCTTCTCCTCATGGCGCTTCTGTCTTGTTTATGCCTAAAAAGGAAGGTGAGTTACGTTTTTGCACTGATTATAGAGGGTTGAACTCTGTCACTGTCAAAAATGTCGAACTCCTACCGCGTATTGACGACTTGTTGAACCAGTTGCAGGGTTGCAAGTACTTTAGCAAGATTGATCTAAAGTTTGGATACCACCAGATCGATATGGATCTCGCAGATCAACACAAGACTGCTTTCCGAACGAGGTATGGTCACTACGAGTTCGTGGTAATGCCTTTCGGACTGACGAATGCCCCAGCGACCTTCCAAAGGTCCATGAATGAATTATTCCGTTAATGGTTGGACCAGTTCGTCATTGTGTATCTTGATGATATTCTAGTGTATAGTAAAACATTGGAAATTATGAGAAACACCTACGTTTTGTATTGGGGAAGTTGCGAGAAGGTAACTTCAAACTGAACCTGAAGAAATCTGAGTTCGCTAAGTTAGAAGTCCTATACCTAGGGCATATAGCGAACGAAGATGGTCTTAGGCCTGAAGAAAAGAAAATATCAGCAATTAGAGATTGGCCACAACCTAAGTCTATCACCGAATTACGCTCTTTTCTTGGTTTGGCAAGTTACTATTGGAAGTTTGTTAGAAACTTCTCACCGATCGAATGAATACCACATATAAGAGTAAAAACTAGACTTCCTACTACTATAGTCAAACAATTGACTGTTGAATATTGAAAATGATATAGCAAGTGTAAAACAGGTAAACTCAACAGTATAGCCATGATTTTGAGTAACCAGTGACTTCGTAATTGTGAAATTAAAATCTTTTGTAAACGAGTGGATGACACCAATGAGGAAATTGCCAAAGAAAGGAACTATATGGTTGTGGGATAAGGACCGTGAGTCTGCGTTCAAGAAACTAAAGTACGCATTGACCCACTATCATGTTCTAAAAATTGCTGACCCATCTTTTCCTTTTACTGTTACAACTGACGCAAGTCAGTATGGAATTGGCGCAGTCCGTCAACAGGACGATGGCAAAGGTTACTGACTTGTCGAATTTATGTCTGCCCGATTGCCCAATGAAAAAGTTGCCAACTCCACATATGAAAGAGAATTGTATGCCTTAGTCTGTGCACTGAAAACCTGGAAGCACTAGTTGTTAGGGAGGCACTTCACTTTGTACTCAGACCACTCTACCTTGCAGTGGATAAAGACACAGCCTAAGCTCTCTGACAAACTGGTACGATGGTCTGCTTTCCTTGATACCTTTGACTTTGAACTAAAAACAATCAAAGGAAAGTCTAACGTGATTGCAGATGCATTGTCCAGGCGAAGTGACTTCTTCGGAACTATTGTCTCTTATTTAGATGTGGGGAGTGATTTGAAGGAAAAGATTCGCCAAGGGTATGCTAGTGATCCTATCTGGAAGCCTATCCTTGACACTATTGCCAAAGACCCATCTCTACTTCCCAACTACAAAATAGTCGATGGTTTGCTTTTCTTGATTGACCAAACTGAACAAAGACTATGTATCCCTCACAAAGAAGAAATTAAAAGTCTGGTGATTGGAGAATGTCACGGCTTTGAGGGGCACTTTGGGTTCAAGAAAACTTACGCTGAGATCAGAGAACGCTTCGAGTGGAAGGGACTGAAGGAAGATGTACTTACCTATGTTCGCACCTGTCTGGTGTGCCAGAGAAACAAACCTTCACACGAGAACCCTCTTGGTCTACTGAGACCATTGCCGATTCCAAGTGAACCAGGTGAGTCTATCTCAATGGACTTCATGAGTCTCACAAAGAGCCGCAATGGCAATAGTCAAGTGATGGTTATTGTTGACCGTTTCCCTAAGTATGCTATGTTTGTTCCCTTACCTGGTGAAGCATGGACTGGACTTGTGATTCAGAAATTTCAGATGCGATGGGTGATTGAATATGGGTTTCCCTTATCTATTGTGTCTGATGGAGATGCGAGATTCACAAGTATGCCATGGCAAAAGCTGATGGAGGCATACGGTACTCGTTTGACCATGTCGTTAGGGCGACAACTTGAAACGAATGGGCAAAGTGAGCAGATGAACCGCTTGTGCCAACAACTCTTGCGTATGTACGTAAGACCCGATCAGATCGATTGGGACGAGAACTTACCCAAAATAGCCAGTGCATATAATAGCAGTGTTCATACTGCAACTGGACGTACACCTAATGCACTACACAAGGGGTGGAAACCGAGGCGTCCCATTAATATATTAACACGGGACCAATTTCTCAGGTTACCGCCAGGGACTCGTGAATATGCAGTATTGTTTCAAAAAGACGTTAAGAAAGTGAAAGAGAACCTAAAGAAAGCTCAAGAACAAATGATAGACCAAGCTAATAAGCATCGCCAACCATCGACATTCAAAGTAGGTGATTTAGTTTGGGTCAAGTCTAAAGAGTTCTCACTAGAAGAAGATGTGTCTTAGAAACTCCTGCCTGTCTATTTTGGACCCTGGGAAGTTCTCAAGGTAATTGGAGATGCAGAGGGGCCGTCCTATCGAATTGATATTCCCCCTTATCTCAAAACATACCTTGTCTCTCATGCGTCCAAATTGTTGCCTTACATGGAAGGAAATGAGTTTCCTCACAGACCCTCTATGATTCCACTAGACATGGATGGCGGATACGAGGTTGACCGAATCATAAAACATGGTTACTTTTCTACGGGAGGACGTGGACGACCTCAGAAGCAGTTCAAGGTACGTTTTAAAACTCAAGCACCATCTGAGGACAGATGGTTTAGTAAACGAGAACTACTTGAGACTGCTCCTGATATTGTTGCTGCTTATGAACGAGGGTTAAGGTCTTAAATGTTTCTGCGGTGGAACGCGAAAATGGGCCGGCATGAATGTAATAACCCTGTTCAGAAGTAGCCTCAGAACTCAGCCCCAGGCCACGCAGACCTGAGAAGGTCTGCGCTGGGCTGTGTGACCAAGACACGCCCAAGCCTGAGTCTGTCGAGTGTGGCTGTGTGACCGAACACTGCACATAGGAAATTCAAGAGTCAAAGTCAACTGTAGAGTCTCACCCGGGCCCCGGGATGGATACACACTTGTTTGGCGCAGGTACCCAGACAACATCCAGGCCGGAGGGAATTCGGTTTCAGACCGATCTGAGCCCTCGTTCAGATTGAGATCTGGACGGCCGAGGGATACAGCATCCGGGGTCCAGACCCCGTGTCAACACTACATAAGAGTTGACTTCCTGGCTTTGAGATTCATTCCTTCTGTCTCGCGTTGACGCTGCTCTACGCGTTGACGGCACGTCGCTGACTGGTCGCTGCGACGCTGGTGGACGTTGGCATTACGCTGGCATTGGCGAGATAGCAGCAACACGCTGCTGGCTGGTGCGCTGACTGGCTGGCTACTGTCTTCAAGGCTTCCTGACGTGGCTGCTGCCACATGTTGCTACTGACGTGGCTGCTGCCACATGTGACATTGCTGGGTCTACAGGACCGGCATTGTTGTTCTATTCCATCATCACTTCAGGGAGATATCAAGGCAGTTTCATCGTCAGTTCAGGTGGAGATCGGGATTGTGTGAAGGTTGTGGATACGTACCTAGGATCTTCACGTCGATGCTACTCCAGCGCTGATGAGAGGTTGATTGGGTGCCACGTGGCACAATGTAACAGGACTTCGATATGTGTTCAGATTACTGGTTATTGTGAGGTGGCGGTCAAGGAAGGAGCCCGGAGAAGGAGTGGGCATTTATTATCCTCTCCTTTGTCTCATCTCTCTCCTTCCTCTTTGTCTGTGTATGATTACCTCACCTCCTTTTTGGATATTACTTTGATTACTGGAAATTATCAGCGACTTGACATACTGGAGCATTGTTGACAATCGTATTCATGACTTGAGTTCATTGCACAGCAAGGCGCCAAAGTGCGCCTGGCCTCTTTTAGGCCCTGCCTCTGGTGTACCCAGTCCCAAGGTCGTGCCTTGGGGACTGCAAGTTCGAAACGGCATCTGAACCGACAAAGTAGGGCAGCATATTCAAATAAATAAATAAATGAATAAATGCTGCCTCAGGCTGTACCTGTGGCCTAGAAAGTTCGTCGTGGGCCTCCACGGTGCACGCTGGATGGCGTGCGGCCTAGGGGCCCCTCAGCAACCGTTGGGCCCTGTAAATGGGGCCCGTGTGCAGGAGCAGCATGTCTTGCTGCAATTCGTGCCTGGAGCTGTGATGCAAGCCCCATGGCGCTTATTCGAGATGAGGCGGCTTGAAGAGCAGTCATTTTGGGGGAAGCATACCCTTGTGCACTTGAGGAAGCATGCGAATGCATACTGGCCTTCGGCCCTCTCCCTGCTGTTGGTCAAAACCAGCAAGGCCATGGGGGCAGAAACAACCCAGATCGTACGCTAAGGTCCTAAAGCAATCTCTTAGTGGAAAAGGAAGCAAATGAGCAAGTACAACCAGGAGGTGGGCTTGGAAGCACCCATCCTTTGAAGAAAGCGTAATCGCTCACTGGTCTAGTTTCATCGTGCTGAAAATGGATCGGAGCTCAAGTGGTTCCCCGAAATAGGTGACGGGAAGCACGCGAATGCATGCTGGCCTTCGGCCCTCTCCCTGCTGTTGGTCAAAACCAGCAAGGCCATGGGGGCAGAAACAGCCAAGATCGTACGCTAAGGTCCTAAAGCAATTACTTAGTGGAAAAGGAAGCGATTGAGCAATTACAACCAGGAGGTGGGCTTGGAAGCACCCATCCTTTGAAGAAAGCGTAATCGCTCACTGGTCTAGATTCCAAGTGCCGAAAATGGATCGGATCTCAAGTGGTTCACCGAAATAGGTGACGGGAAGGAACCTAAATCGACGGACTTGAGTGATGAATGGCAGAACCAGCATCAATGTTCAGATCCCTCTTCTACTGCTAGCACAACTTGAGGTCCAACATAACCATGGCCGCCTCCCTCTTCCTCCAGGCCGAGGCTATGGCGGATTACTAAGGACCTTGCCCTGACGTTCAAAAGACAACGCAAAGCATCTATGGTCTCTTCTTCTCAGGCAGCCATGCCTGACTCTGCCTCGAAGCTTCTTGGCACGGCTCTGCCCCAATGGGGGCCTTCCAAATGCAGCACCCACGAAGGTGATGAAGATGGCGTCCACCATAGCCAGGTAAGTGCCCCTGTCCCCTTCTTCCTCCTCCTGTCCGAGCTCCTCCACCATAGCCAACACTTCTTCCCCAGCAACGTGTCGCTGAAACTTCCACGCAGCAAATGCAGAGCTCTTTGCTCCTCCTGGAGATATAGCCGCCAACTTGTCTCTTGGGCGTTTAACTTCCAGGCCGTGTGGCCTCCAAGCAACCGGTAATTCCTCCCTTTCTGTGGCATACTGCGTAGCCACACGGGCCTGCAGGGCCCGTCCCGCATTCCCAGCCTAAAAGCCTAGAAATAAGGGCTTACAGGCCCCTGTCGTTTNCGCATTCCCAGCCTAAAAGCCTAGAAATAAGGGCTTACAGGCCCCTGTCGTTTCAGCCTGAAAGATTGAAAAACGAGGGCCTGCAGGCCCTATGTCGTTTCAGCCTAAAACAGGGCTTTTCTGCCTTGAGGCTTTTCAGCCTGAAACGGAGGGCCACTTTCAGGCCCTCATGAGATCGACCTGTCCTAACACTCGGGCACAAAACCAGGGTTTTCGAAACAGGCTATCTTTAACCTGTTCCCACGACAGCCTCAAGCAGGAGCTGCAGCGGCAGCCCCTGACTCCCTTCGGCATAGGCAAGAGCAGCCTCCTGGACTGCCTCGCCCTGCAGTCAGGAGGCAGGCCGAGTAGTACATAGGGAGTTCCCATGCACTTCTTGGGTAGGTAGTTGGATAGTAGGCAGGAGTAGTCTTCAGGATTCGGCCACAGCACTCAGGAGGAGCGTTGCAGGAGTAGCTTAGCGCTAGCAGTAGTCTTCAGCGCTGGGCGCTAGTAGCCATAGCAGTAGTCTTCAGCGCTGGGCGCTAGTAGGTGGTAGTTGTAGAGTTGGGAGAGATGACTGGCGGAGGCGAGTGAGACTTACCTGTGCCGCCATCGCTCCAGCTCCATCTTCGAGGTACCTGCATCAAGGCGCCAACTTCACAGGTTAGTACCGGACTTAGAGAGAGAGAGAGAGAGTTCTTCTTCTTCCTCTTCTATGTACCTCACAATTTGTTTTTGAAAACCGAAATCTTTAGAAGCCTACCAGCATTTCGTTAGGCATATTAGGAGGTTGCCATATCTCAGAAACTGGATTTAGTTCTTTTCTGAAAATTGCATCTCTACTCTATTTCGCAAATTTTTTTTTTTTCAAGATCGCATTTTTGTGAAAGCCGAAACTTTGCGCAACCTAGCCTAGATCTCGCTCAGAGTACTCTTCTGACATGTCTCACTCATAGCAAATCAATAGATATACAAAAAAAAAAAAAAAGGAAGTAGTTTTTTATTTATTTTATTATCTGTTGATTAGGGCCGGGAGGAAAGTATTGTTGGGTTGGTTCCCTACCTGCGTTTTCCCTCCCACCCACCCCTTTGCATGCATTTTCGGATCGGTACAGTGCCACGTCAGCAGTGTCACGTCAGCAATAGTGCCACGTCAGCAGTGCCACGTCAGCAGTGCCACATCAGCAGTGCCACAGTGCCACATCAGCAGTGCCCCGCCGCCGTGACGGGCTCAGTTCTGGGCATGCCAGGCCAACTGGCAAATGAGTCCATTGCCGAGTACCGACAACGGTTCGAAACTCTTTTCGCACTAATCGCGGCTGAGGAACAGCGCCAGCTGGCAGCCGAGGCTATGCGCCTACAGGCTGAAGCGGCAGCAACAGCTGAGAAGGAGCGGCTTCAGGCCGAAGCAGACGCAGATACCCAGGCACGCCGCAAGGAAGCCAAGGATCTGCTACAGCGGCATGAAGCCACCAACATCGAAAGGCTCAAGTTTTGGCACTTTGAACCATTCGAGGAGCACGACGACGCGACACCAGAGGAGCAACACAGGGAATTCATGGCCAAACTCGTGACTCGGTTGGTCTACACTTGTAACCACCTGCAGTCGGAGCTGGTGAATATGCAGCGGGCCATGCGGAACCATAAGGCTTAGCAAGAGGATGCAGCACGGGCACTTGATTCCCGTATGCAGGTCTTGGAGCAAGTTGCACCAAGACCGGAGGCTGGCGAGTCCAACAGTGCACCCTCTGCCCGTCAACTGGAGCAATGCGTCGACCACGTCGTCGCAATGCTCGGCGACATCAGCACCTTCGCCGCGCCAACCACCATCAGCAAACAGTTGGACACCTTGAAGACCGAGGTCCAGCAACTGCAGCTGCCTAACAAGGATGGCAACAGCACAACACATTATAAGATGCCGACATTCCAAATTGAGAAATTCGATGACTACACGCATCAAGACCTTGTCCTCTGGTGGGAGGGCTTTACAACGCAACTTCGGATTCTGTTCGTCGCCAAGCACGCATACATTTGCGCCCTGTTTCTCAACTCAAAGGGCGGATGCCAGATCTGGTTAAGCCACCTGGCAACCGTCCACGGCGTCGACGTCGCAGATCTGAAGGATAAGATTTCATGGGAAGAGCTAACACGGCTGTGGAAGAAGCGGTTCATCGTGGACGACACACCTGCACTCGCCATCAACCGTCTCTTTGGCATGACGCAAGGCAACACAGCAACACGTGACTGGCTCATGGAATGGCAGAAGATCGCAGCAACGCCCGATCTTGACTTGCCATTTTCGCATCTGCGCTGCGAGTTCTACAACAGGTCATGTGCCGCATTGAGCCTTGCACTTGTTGATCGTGACCAATATGCAACCTTCGCTGAAATCATTGACAAGGCGAGGGAGATCATCAAGACCAACAGGGCAGCTGCACATGAGAAGTCAACATGGCAGCCAACCTATGTGGAGAAGGTGAGAACTCTTCCTCGACTGCAGCATGTCGCTGCAGCCCAATCGGACAACATTGTGGAAGACCCGGCAGCCACCCAAGCGTCACGTGAGGGAGATCAGGTGGCTGCTGTCCAGCCACGAAGCAACAACAAGTCCTGAGGAAACGGGAAGGCGAAAACCGCATCGCCGGCCGGAAACGGACAGTGAGCACCATGGGTCAAGTTTCACTTGACCGAGGCGGAATACAAGTGTCGCGGCCGCTACGGCTGCTGCTATTGGTGCAACAGCACCAAGCACAAGACCTCCCAATGCCCTGATCAAGGCAAGGAGGATGTTCGGCCTCGTATTAACTCAGGAAACTGAGTTGCGCAGGAGGTGAGGCGACGCCACCTCTCACTCCGCCAGATTCGGCTGCCTTGCTAACAACCTCCTACACATCTGGGGAGGATGCGCATGTCGCAAGGCCTCGGTTCACTTACGAGGATTATGCTGTCCACTTGGTCCCACCGTTGGACCAACCACTCCACGTGCAACAATCTACCGCATGCACGGTTTCATCACCACCATCGGCAACCGATTCGGCAGCTTTGTCGTCATCTACCGCCGGGGATTCAATGTCATGGTCAAGACTTGAAGAGCTCGACCCATTGACATTTGCGGACTTCCAATGGATGCCCCTTCCCCGGTTCGGTCGATTGCCGAAACCGCATTGCAACGTGCTCATGGTACAATTGCGGGATTACTTGCACACTGCAGTACCAACTCCGTTGATGGACGCCAGAGTAGAGGATGTCGACCTTCACGCCTACATTGCGAGGATCGACCGCGAGTTCAAGACGCAACGGTACGACGACATCGACGCATCATTGTTATATGTACGCATTCAGATCGGAGAGGCGACCTGCAGCGCTTTGATCGATTGCGGAGCATCTGGCAACTACATGAGCCAGGACTTTATGGTACGCGGCGGCCTTGGCCCACGCGTTCGGAGGAAGTCCCAGCCTACGCAAGTCACGTTGGCAGACGGTCACAAGCACAAGTCAATAGACCGGTGCATAGATGACGTCCCGGTGTACTTTGCCCCGCATGCAAGCGAGGCGGTGTCCTTCGATATTTTGGACACCAAATTCGACATGATCTTGGGCATGTCATGGCTGCGAAGCGAGGATCACCCGGTGAACTTCTACCGCCGCACCGTTCACGTCCATGATCGGAACGGAGTACTAGTCCCATGCACGTGAGCTCCGCCTCACCCTTCGATCAGCTGCCACGTGGTGTCCGCCGCAAGCATGCGAGCTTCCATCATCAGAGACGACATCGAGGAGATGGGGGTGTGTTTTCTCCACGCCCTCCCGCCCCATGACGACATCTTCGGACCCACGCATCACCGAGCTTCTCAACGCCTACGGCGACGTGTTCGAAAGCCCGCACAAAGTAGTACCGGATCGGCCCATCCGCCATGAGATCATCCTCGAGGACGGGGCCGTACCTCCGCACGGTTGCATCTACCGAATGAGCGAGGAAGAGTTGAGTGTGCTACGGGCACAACTTGACGACCTTCTGGAGAAAGGCTGGATTCAGCCTAGCTCATCACCATACGGTGCTCCTGTTCTCTTCGTCCGGAAGAAGAACAAGGATTTGCAGTTGTGCATCGATTATCGCAAGCTCAACGTGCAAACGATCAGAAACGTCGGACCTCTTCCACGCATCGACGACGTTCTCGAACGGCTGGGCGGGGCAAGTTCTTCTCCAAGCTCGACCTCAAGTCGGGATATCACCAACTCGAGATTCAGCAGGAGGACCGCTACAAGACCGCGTTTAAGACGCGATATGGGCATTTCGAATGGCTGGTTATGCCATTTGGCCTCACGAATGCCCCAGCCACTTTCCAAGCGGCTATGACAATGGAGTTCCAACACATGCTGGATTGATTCGTACTTATCTACCTCGACGACATCTTGGTGTACAGCCGGCGTTTGGACGAGCATGTGGAACACCTGCGCACCGGTTTGGAGCGGCTACGACAAGCCAAGTACAAAGCCAACCGCGACAAATGCGAATTCGCGCGGCAGGAGCTGGAGTACTTGGGACATTATGTGTCGCCGCAAGACATCCGTCCGCTTGCGGACAAGATCGAGGCAATCCGCGTATGGCCCGAGCCCACCAACACCACGGACGTTCGCTCATTCATGGGGTTGGTGGGTTACTATCAGCGATTCATCATCGGATACTCACGGATTGCCGCACCTATGACGAGATTACAATCGTCAAAGGTGCCATTCGTATTCGATGACGACGCACGCTGGTCATTCCAAGCACTCAAGACGGCCATGCTCATGGCACCCGTCCTTAGCATCTATGACCCCACCCTGCCTACGAGAGTGACAACCGACGCTTCCGGCTATGGCATTGGGGCAGTCTTGGAACAACGCGACGGCGACGACTGGCACCCTGTGGAGTATTTCAGCCACAAAGTGCCTCCCATCAATTCGCTTGATGATGCAAGGAAGGAGCTGCTCGCGTTCGTGATGGCTCTCAAGCGATGGCGGCACTTCCTCCTTGGGCGTCGTAGGTTCGCATGGGTTACGGACAACAACCCACTAACTTACTACAAGACGCAGGGTACGGAGAGCAGCACGATCGGACGATGGATGTACTTCATCGACCAACTTGACTTCACACTGAAACATCTCCCCGGCCTCTCCAATCGCGCAGCAGATGCACTCTCACGAAGACCTGATCTTTGCGCTATGACAGATCATGCCTTCGCATTCGACGGTCGACACTTCATCCGGACTTCGCCACGTTGTATGCGCAGCTATCTTCGGATCACCCGCCAGCCAGCCTCTATCGCATTGTCGACGGGTACTTGCTCCTCCACTCGAGAGGCAAGGACTTATTGTGTGTCCCACGAGACCGTTGTCTTCGGACTCGCCTTCTCGGGGAGTACCATGACTCGCGACTCGCCGGCCAGTTCGGAGTCAACCAAACTATTGCACGGCTTCGACAACGATTCCGATGGCCCGACCTCATTACCGATGTCACTCGGTATTGCGACTCTTGCGAAGTTTGCCGACGAAGTAAGCCCCGCAATCGCAACCCCTACGGTGAGTTGCGCCCGATGCCTATCCCACGGGAACCCAGCCTCTCCATTGCCATGGATGTCACGGGACCATTTCCCCGCGATCGCCTCGGGCACGACGACATCCTCACGGTTGTGGATCGTTTGAGTAAGTATGCGCGTTTTCTCCCTTGCAAGTACTACTCCACGGCTCCCGAGCTGGCACGCCTCTTGCACACCGGTTGGATTTGCGGCCACGGTGTACCGGAAGACATAGTCAGCGACTGCGACACTCGCTTCATGTCGACATTTTGGACTGCTCTCATGCAGGAGTCCGGCATGAAGATGAAACCAAGTTTGGCTCGGCATCCATAGACGGACGGGCAAACGGAGCGGGCACATCAAACCGCTCAAATGATGCTTCGTACGCTCATCCGTCCGGACCAGAAAGATTGGGTTGACTGGCTCCCCGACATCGAGTTCGCCTACAACACTTCGGTGCACCCGGCGATCGGCGTGACTCCATTCGAGTTGCACCACGGTGGACGGAAAGGCCGTATCTTCGCCGACCTTCTCCTCCCACGACCAGCCGACATCGACGTTGCTTGCTCTCCCGCTTCCGTCCGGAAGTATAGGGAATTGCTGGGTCAAGCCCGCGCGAACATGCAAAAGGCTCAAGTCCTCATGCAGCAGCAAGCCAACAGGCGTCGCGTGCCATGTCCCATCCGCGTCGGTGATCTGGTTTGGGTCTCCGCAGAAGAGTTTGCACTAGAACAGGATGTTTCACACAAACTGCTTCCCAAGTGGTTTGGATCATGGCCCGTAACATCAGCCGCGGGCGATGAGCTTGATGGCCCTTCATTTGTGATCAACATCCCCCCGCATCTGATGGTCCATCCAGTCTTTCACGCCTCGAAGCTGGCAAGATACACACCAGCTAAGAGCGATGACTTCCCGGGCCGACGATCGCAGGACCCTCCTTCTATGGATGGTCATCAGGAAGTTGACCGCGTCATCACGGATCGCAAGTACGGCAGCAAGCCTCGACAGTACAAAGTTACATTCAAAGCATGCGATCCCGACGACACTCGGTGGATTTCAGGAACAGATTTGAAAGCATCCGCACCGCTGATCTACGCTCACTACGAGCGATAAAGGTTAGCTCAAGGACCTTCACGACCTGCCCCTCCGACCCGGACTGTGGTCCCTCCCTCAGACAGACAGCTTTGCCATTGCAGGTAAGCTCGGTCTTTCAAGGAGGGGGGGGTGTGGCATACTGCGTAGCCACACGGGCCTGCAGGGCCCGTCCCGCATTCCCAGCCTAAAAGCCTAGAAATAAGGGCTTACAGGCCCCTGTCGTTT